CGGCAGCTCCGGCCGGGATGGGAACCCAGCGCCTGCAGCAGGAGCTTTCCCAGGGCCTCGCACAGAGAGAAATCTCCCCTGAGATCCCGAAACTCAGGCTCTGCTGTTTTTAACACCCCCAGGCTAGAAAGCAGCAGCCCTACACGCACTTAGCCTTCCTACGCAGCAGCTTCTGAGACTCCGGATAGTGCACCAAGATCTCGTTCAAGTCCTTCTTCTCCAAAATGAACAGGTTAGCGAAGCCATGAGCAACGACGTTTGCTGTTCGGCGATTGCCCCCTCCTGCTGCCAGCAAGCTGAGAGACACGGTGGGACATCAGTGCTGCTATTCACAGCCTCAGCAGAACTTCAAATCTTTTACATGTCTCCATCTCTCTTTCAGAGGACTCAGAGCTTAATTTTCACTCCTGATGGAATTTTCTATCCCCAATATTTTAAAATTTATGTGGAGCACTATATAAAAAATTATTTGGGGATTTGAAGTGTTCAATATTATGTTTTACACCAGTCTAGTGTCTGCTGGGCTGTAGGGAGGCAGAGGTATTGCTGTGTTATAAACTGGTACAGGACTTTACATGCCCATGAAATGGGTGGATTAATGGTTGTGGGGCTGTTTTTGTGAAACATCTTTTCTCATTCATTTTCCCATCCCTCCTCTGCTTACCATCACCAGTTCACCAGGCAGAAAAGAGCATGATGACAAAAAGAGCAGAAAAGCTCCAAGAAGAAAGCTATAATTTGTGTATCAGCTCAGCCCAGTGTCCATGGCTCTCAATCACAAAGATTAATTGTGGTGCTGCTGGTCCTCCCACTTCCCACCCTTCTTTCCCAGTATTCAGAAGCTGTATTTCCTCAGCTCCCTCACAATGCTTTGCTCACCTTATTTCTCCAAACACGGATCCAGCTTTCAGAGTCACCAGCACGGATTTGCCATCGGGTCCCCCCAGTACCTGCACTTGTCCTGCCTGGATAATGTACATCTCACGGCCTATTTCTCCCTGCAGTGAAGAGGAATGCTGGGTGGGATGCCCAGACACAGGGAGGCATTATGGATGCCCTAGCCAGCATCTTGCTGGAAATTCCCCTGACCATAACAGCTCTCTCCCCAAATGCTTTGTCTTGATGGTGGTCACTCCCAAGCATCCTCATCTAAGCATCCCAAAGTCTCCTCCAACTCGATAGGCTTTTTGCCTGCTCTCCTGCTGTTTGTGGCTGCAGCAGAAGAGGTCAGTCTTTGTACAAGACCAGTTGCAACAGAGGATGGTTTGCCTCCAAATTACCTCTGTGTGAAGTGGCTCAATGCCAGGGTGATGGGCCAGGCCTGGCTTTCCCTAGTGCCCTGCACAGCCTGGCCATGACACCAGGGATGGGAGGGCACCCGAGCTTCACATTACCTTCTTGCACACGTAGTCATTAGGCAGGTAGACCACCGATCTGAGTCGTTTCAGCATGTCAAAGATCATCTGTCTGTCACAGCCCTGAGCCAAAACACAGGCACAGTAGTGTTAGTCTGTGGTGTCATTGCAGGCTCTGCCAGCCAGAACTTGTGCTGCCGAGCGTACCTGGAAAAGGGCCACTTTGCTCATGATGTTGTAGTTCACATCGATGGCGATGTCCAGCCTCATCTTGTCTGGCAGCTGCACCAGCAGCTCTGACTCATCTGTCAGACAAAGAATCAAACTGACTGTTTGCAGCACTTGATATGAGAGTGTGTCCTTGACGTGGCAGTAGGAAAGCAACCCACATTCTGGTGACAGAGGGCAGGAGCCAGCACACCCAGAAGGGTCCCCCCTCCAGCCTCTGCCCACCCAGCAACCTGCAGGTTGAAATCGAAGGGGTGATGAAGAGCCACACTTTGCATTATTCCTGCCCTGATGGCTCCCTGAGATAGACCACTGAGCCTAAACCAGCATCTTTCTTGGCCAGGAGGGTGGGCACAGAGGTCCTGATCCTTGCCTGAGCGGTGATGTGGTGGTGGTTTTGCTGCTGGACATGCTCTGGCCAGCGATTGCCAGTCACTGCCCACTCCTCAGGGACTGGGCACTCATATCAAGTGCTGGCAGGTGGGACTCTAGACTCAGTGCATGTTGAGTGGCAACAGATCACTGAAGCACTGTGACCTAGTGGCAGCCTAGATGCTCTGTAGATGGACAAACAACCCCATAGAGTGAAGAGTAAAATAAGCCACCCCTGCCCCAAAACAGTAGTGCTATTTGACAGTAACATTTCAGCTCTGCAAAACAAGCACAGTAAAATACAAGGTGCCAGCATTGACCCTTGGAGTGGCTGGATCTCACCTAACATGCCTTGCGAACGCCACGTGTACTCATACCACGTTTTCACCCGGTTCTGAACAGTTTTGGGGATTTTGTAGAAGTTCATGTATTTAATGGTACTGTCCATGCAGCTCCGATAGTAAGTTTGCCCAGCAGTAGCAGCACCGACCACATCTCTCATCTGAATGGAAGAGGTGGAAGAGAAGCTTTAGTTGCTGTGACTTGTCCATTACACAACAGTCTAGAGTGTGCAAGCCAAGCCCTAACATCTGCCAAATCCTTTTTGTCTCGCACCAATGCTGAGCAGGTCCTCCCATGGGGAAAACAAACCTGGAGGTGCAAACCTGTGGATCAACCCTGCTGAAACCATCCCCACCTGAGGCTGGAAGTCCCCACACCTCCTACTCACCTGCCCGATCATGACCGAGAAAGCAAAGATGCCTGTGAAGTAGTTCAGCAGCTGGAAGACAATCTCAAACAGTGTCTTGGGGTCTGGCAGGCCCCCGATGGTGATGAGGGTTTTGACTGCCCAGTAGTAGCAGCGGATGTAGCTGGGAGGAAAAGAGGAGGCAGCTCTGAAGGTATTTCTGGCATGAAGGCCTGTTTCAACCCTCAGCACCGAGCTCACTTCCTCTGGCCACAGCAAGCTAGAGCCTGCTGAGAGTAATTATGGGTGACAAAGAGGAAATTAAAGGGCTGCAGACTCCCCACCACACCTGCTGGTGCTTCTGGAGATGCTACAGGAACAGGGTGACCTATGGACCCTCCAAAAGCTTCTGCCTGAGAGGCTCAGCTGCTCTGGCTACTCCTGTTTTCTGCTTTTTAGAGCTCCACTGCCATAAACAGCAACATGTTTTCAGCAATATGTACACTTTTAAAAATAGTGAGGTGGAAAAAATAGAGTTTGTGAGCAAATTGTTGGCAAGGGACTCAGGAGATGCCAAACTAATTCCCAATTCCTTGGTCTTGGGCATTCCCTTAGATGTCATAGTTACACCTGGAGATAGATACAGATATGCATATCACACAAAATAACTATAGCAGCCACATTAACAGGGGGAGCTGAGAGCTCAAACGGAAGGCAACACCTGCACTATGGTTGCATGGGTGGTAGTCACTTGTTCCCACTCACATCCACACCTCACCTTGCAGCACTGTGTATTTTTGCACATCCCATCCCTCCTGTCCCAGGCATTCTCCCTAGCTCCACATCTTCTGGCACTCCCAGCCCTTTGCTTCAGGGGTTTTCATGAATCCATCCCAATGCCTCCCTTATTGCCCCAGCTCATCACCGCAGGCTGTGCTGTGTGAGACCCCAAGCCCTGGCTTGTACCTGTTTCCTTCCCCATCATAGACCCAGGTGGTAGAGCCCAGTCCTTCGTAGGCTGACGCCCAGTAATAGAGACAGGAGTTGATGTGCAAGCTGTACAGTAAGTAGGCAGTGGTCCGAATTACTCTGCAAAATAAAAAAACAAACAGGAGAGAGCAGGAAGGGAGATGATATGGTGCCTGCTGGGAGAAAGATGGAAGGTTCCCCCCTGGCATCACAAGGAGCCTCAAAGCGATGAGCTGAGTGCTGACCATGCAGGTCCTGCCAACAGGAATCACAGAGCACCCAAACACATGGCCCTGCTGCTCCTTCCTGCAGCCCTGCAGATCAAGAAGTACAGAAAAAGCAGCTCATCTGCTGGTGGCTCCTCTCCACTGCCAGCACTCCTGCCCCCATGGGTTGGGGAGAGGTGATCCTATCCATGCAGGCTCTGGAACTCCCTTGTCTCACTGCATCAGCCAACATCCATATCAGCCAGTCCAGGGACAGTGGGAAGATAAATCAGGAATTCAGAACAGGTGCACACCAAAGTGAACCTTCTTCCCAAGACACAAACAGCAACTCTACACTCCCTCCTTCCATCCCCTCCTCACCTGTAGATGTATGCCTTGGTCAGGAGAGCCTCCAGGCGGTTGTTGAACTCGAAGAAGGCCATGTACTGGGAGGAGAAGGAAAACAGCATGCTCCAGCTTCCCACAGCCCCTGCCAGGAGAGTCACCTCCCCATAAAACCCCATTGCCCCTCCATTTCCCTCCTGCAGCCCCTCTGCAGCATGGACTGCCACTGACAGATTTGGCTCCATCTATAAGTGCCCTTCTGTTCAAATGGGGGGTAGTTTAGGATTGAAATGAAGTGTTTGCCCAATAGCCTTGAAAAGCCTTCAGGGCAAGACTTCCCTCGTGTTTACAATCCTCTTGTCATCATTGATGAGTCCATCAAGCCATAGCTCACCCCAACCAGCACAGGACTCCTCCATGTCCACTGCTGCTGCTGCTCTGCCTGATTTTGTAAGCTCCAACTCACCTTCAGACAGCGAGGGAAGCGCAGGAGTGGGTTAACTCCGACTTTGAAGTAGAAGAAATCCAGGGGCAGGAGGCACACCACATCCATCTGAAATCCACACAAGGACATAAACCTCTGTGGGGACCTGCAGGTGTGCTGGGGTGAGGCCGCAAGCCACGGAAAAGATTAAAGATTCAGGTTAATAAATAAAATTATGCCGAACCTTAAAACGTCGTGATCGCAGGTAGTTCTCTTTCATGGCCTTTTTATCAGTCTGATTGGAAATAGGAAGGAGAGAGAGAGAGAGAGGAAGATTTATCATTGCTTACAGAAAGGAAATTCATGGCCAGCATGGTCATGCCCAGCTTTCCTCTTCTGCCCTACAAGAGGGAAGATGCTCCCTTTGTGCCCAGAAGGGAAGCAGAGCAAGAGGAGCAGAAGACCTGACTGTTTGCCACCTTCCCATCCTACCTTAGGACATCCCATGCTCATTTTGCATCCCAGAAAAACACATCACAGTGCCAGCACCACAAGAATCAGTTTACAGGAGAAACCTGCCTGTCTGAGCATCTGCATGGCCAAGGAAGGATGTACCCTGAAGGTCTGATTTTTTCACAGCTTATTTAATTGAATATGGAAACAAAATCAAGGGCTTTCACTTATCTCAGGTGAATGATCTATGTGTTTAGATTGTAGTTGCTAATGCATTGTGCCTAATGCACTTCTGAAAATTAACCCCAGAGTTTATTACCTGATGACCCCAGCTAGCAGTGTATGACTGCACTGGGGCCAGTCAGTGTGCACCTCTGCACCACGGGCAGAACTGCCCCATGGAGCAGCACCCTCCAGGCACCCCTACCCAGGAACAGGGCCATCATGGACCACAAACTTTCTCAATGGCCTGGTACTGACTCTAGGGGGGAAATGGTGTATTTGGCAGACAAAAAGACTGCTGGCTTAGCCACGACATGTCAGGAGAGATGCTTGCAGTCATCCAAGAGCGGGCGCAGCCCTGATGGCCATAACCATGGCGGGAGAGCTTTGAAAGCTCAGTTTGGAGATCAGAGACCAGCACCACCCATCTTTCTCAGAATGCTGGGGATGGGAGGTCCCCACGGCTGGTCCCCAGTGGTGGGATGCAGTGTGCTGCCACTCACTATGATGTCTCCCCCCTGAATGAACTGCAGCCGGGTCTGAAAGACAAGGATGTCCAGCAGGTAGATGAGGTCGCAGAGGTAGTCCACCAGCAGCCAGCAGTGGATGTTTGCTGGTGTCTGGTAGGGGAAAGCCCAGCGGACAGGAATCAACCAGCAGTTCCAGTTCCAGGCCATGACAACGAAGAACAGCCACAGCACGTACATCAGATCTGTGCACAGGGAACAGCACCACAGTCAGCTGGGCAGATAGATGTCCCTCCCCTGTGTGAATCCATTATACAAAAGGATTTTCATCCCCCAACCCACCCTGAGCACAATGGGGAAACCTGCAGGAGGTCTCTTGGTGGCAGTGTTTAATTGCAGGTGAGCTGGGATGCAGCGCAGAGTGAACATCACAGGTCACAGAGCACAACACGTTTTATCAGAAAGCTTCTTCTAACTTTGCTCATTCAACTATGTTTACTTTTGGTTTGCTCCCACAACACCAACATCTCTGTCCAACCCACCCTGAGCACAATGGGGAAACCTGCAGGAGGTCTCTTGGTGGCAGTGTTTAATTGCAGGTGAGCTGGGATGCAGCGCAGAGTGAACATCACAGGTCACAGAGCACAACACGTTTTATCAGAAAGCTTCTTCTAACTTTGCTCATTCAACTATGTTTACTTTTGGTTTGCTCCCACAACACCAACATCTCTGTTGGTGGCCCCTGCAG